GTGGGTTCAGGCTGGAAAAAGGCCCGAGGTGGCCAGACTAAAACATGGCACCAATGTATGAAGTCTCTGACTGTTGGTTTAAGCCATGTAGGACGATGCAGACTAGGTGGTTGGGGTCCACGGGACAAGAGGAACCAGTGGTTGGAGACCCTAGGTGATATGGCTCAGAACCGAAGTCAGTGGCGCAGATGTATACACACATTATCCTCATCTTAACAACGCTATACCGAATCTCACTATTTTGTCACTCCTCTTTCCTTTCTTCTCATACTTTATATTTCTTTTGACTGCATTCACTTATCTTCATCCTTCACCTCACTACCTTTTTACTTGATGTGCTGATATGAGGTGTGGCAACTCGGACCGTTACGCAGTAATGCCTGGTCCTATGTTGATAATGATGATGATGATGTAGCGCAAAACATGGGAGCCCTAGACAGTCGTTTCACGCTAATGTGGGACACCTCAGCAACACGCACCTACGACCTCCAAGGTGCGTAATGAGTACGTTACTATTGAGCCGCTGGCTGGAAATCCAGTTTCCTCATTTTCCTACTTCTATCAGTTCGCTATATGGCTCAACCTACATCCAGTACCGTCGTTGAGTACATGTCCTCACGTCCGACTTGGTTGCCCCACTGTTGACGACTTAGGCCCATCTCATCTCGAAACAATCATGTTCAGGTGTTATTCTTCCCTCGGCCTTCAGTTAACAAAAGGCCACCCTTGTCTTTCTTATTCATTGTCTTTGATTTTACCATCACACTCTTCATGTATATATGTCATCTTAATCATGACAAATTTATAGAGAAATCGATTTCCTTACAATCCCAAACTCTCCGCTTTGCAGATGTGTTCACTTCAAATCTGTTCTGTTTTTATGCTGAACAATTCCATTTTATAACTGTAGAAATTGATAACAATTTGTTCAGAAGAACATTCTTCATTCAGACTGTTTTGATTAACTGCATACGTTTGTAAATTTCTGGGCTACGGTATCCCGACTTACCGGGATTGTGCACAAACTATTTTTTTCATCGAATCAACATATGCATCTGAAGTGATTCATCACTTATTGCAGATAATTAGAAAACGTTACTTACACTGAAAATGAATGAATAAGCAACTGTTTGAGTGTAAAAACGGATTCCGAAATTCATGTGACGAGTTCAACATGATTACGTGTAGTAAAATACACTCAAAATCTCATCCAGTAAATGAAACTGTTTCACTAAGTGATCTAATAAAGCACCATAGAGACAGACAGACAAACAGTTAAATTAAGGTAGAACCTCGCACATGAGTGCATTCGTTCAATTTGCTGTACTTCCCAGTAGCATGCAAGGAACAAGTGCATGGAAAAAGACTGACAACAAAGTAGACAAAAGTATAAAGAGCAATCTAAAAAGTAAGGCTAGTCAATATGTTCTAGTTTTAGGTGTTGAAGAGTGAATACATCTGCGCCATTTTGGCCGCTTTTCAGACATGTCACCAATAGTCCTCAACCATTGATTCCTATCGTCTTGGAGACCCTAAGTGGAGCTGTGACTCAGTGGTTTCGGGAGATGACTGCTGACCACTGGGTCACGGGTTTGAACCTCGCTTCACCTACCGAGGTTTGGGCAGTCAGGTAGTGTCACTAGCACTCACATAATAGGTGTGACTCATTGTCTTCTGCAGGAATGCGCCAAAGTAGCTGAGTGCATTTCGTTCGGAGACCCCAGCCAGGTAGCCTACACCTTAATGGCTCTTGCCAGCAGTTAGACTTCATGCATTGGTGCCACGTCTTGGTCTGGCAACTCTGAGGCCTCTTCCAATCTAATCCAACTTCTCCGTGGAGGTACGCGGCGGTTTGACATGCGCAGTAAATCTCCAAGCCATCTTAGTCGATGAGGGTTCCTAACCTCGTTGACTGACTTGCCTAGTACCCTCCAGGTAACCTCGACATTCCCAACATGGAGATCCCACTGTACACGAGCAGCATTATGCTACTCTAGTACAGAGCCCGAGTCCTACTTTTGGAGCAAAAGAACTGTTACAGGAGTAAACAAAATCAGGCGTGGTACGATAATGTGCAAGAAACGACAGTCTCAACTCAGCAGCTACCAAGAATCCATTCTAAAACTAAATCATGTATCACTGAAACCTAGAGATTCCACCATTCAAATCTCTAAATACATGAATCGCACAAATAGATATTCGAAGCGTGAGTAAAATAAAAATCATTCATTAATATTAATGATGGATAGTGGCTAGCAGTGAAATCCAAGACGCGCGTTTCGTCCTATTTGAGACTGGTGACCTGGATAGTACCTGCTTCTCAGTAGGTGGTGTTGTTCCCACTAAGACTCGAACTCAGGACCAATCGCTTCAAACTTCAGAGCGTTATCCACCACCCGTCAATAATATCCAGATTGAAAATACTGGCAATATCGAGGCATCTGCCACAAGAGCCTATATGACAGTATTGACCGATCAGTTCGGTCCAATCGGTGATGGAGATGCACAACCGATAACATCGAAAATCTACTGACGCTCATAGTCTATGTAACTGTCGCTTGATCTCAATTTATAATGATACTGAATGGAAAATTCTCAACTTTCGCACATTCCAAGGTATTGTTTTCCCACCCTTCGGCCATGAGTAATAATTCATCCTTCAACCACGCCATTCTTATGCTTAAACTAATTAGTTAATATCAATATTCTTCTCATAAAAGGTCTAAATCCATGTATTTGTTGTGAATCATTTTCGTCTTCATCGTGATTTTGTTCTTTCCCTTTCTATCGTATACTTTCATCAGTGTTGATGCTGCTTGCGATTGTAGCATAATATAGCGTTAACCTGTTTAACAGCACAATAATTTAGAATTTAATCTAAACATAGCGTGGGGAGTTGTGTCAGCCCAAATGGGCTGGGTGCTAACGAAATCCCAGCTCGAATACAGAAGACCTATTTGGAATTTGACAACTTACGTCATCTGTAGAGGTGACTGGCGAGATATCCGACTATCAATCAAAGGACGAGTATACTGCGCTGCAGTCCGCTCTGTCCTTTTATACAGCTGAGACGTGGCCTTTGAAAAAAGAAGAAACGAAGCTGTTGCAGGGTTTTGATCACAGGGGTCTTCGTAGCATTGCTGGCGTTTGGTGGAATCACCATGCAAGCACTGTTGAGGTTAAGCGAAAGGTACTAGGCAAGTCGATTAATGAGGTTGTGCACTTTCATCGGTTGGGGTGGCTTGGATATGTGTTACGCATGCTTGGTCACCGCCTACCTCCAGTTGGCATGCTAGTGGAAGCCGGATAAAGCTTGAAGAGGGTTCAGGGTGGCCAGGCAAAGACGAGCACCAGTTGATAAAATCCCTAACTGTTGGTATGAGCCGTTTTGCGAGATGAAGTTCCTGAGACGATAGGAATCAGTTGTTGAGGCCTGTTGGTGATATGACTGAAAACCTACCACAGTGGCGCAGATGTATTTTTTTGACGTCTTCTATATCTTGAAAATTTCCGATAATCTTTGTCTTCAAAACTTTTATTCTTTCACACAACTTTGCCTACTTTGATATCACTCTTTTTCTGTCAACTTGCTCCCTGTATACTACTGTAAGGTGTGGCAAGCTGAGCCGTCTACGCACTTGTGTGTGAGGTTCTACGTTGATTCTGTCTATCTGCTTTTCCTAGTTTTAGTAGAGTTCTTAAATGGAGTCCAATTTACTTGAGAATAGGAATATGGTAATTAATGCTTCTGAAGTTACTTCGCTATTATTGCTATTTACAGAGTAGAATATTTTTTTTTTTAATCAAAGATGTACTGAAACTCTCTCTGAAGAAGTGGAACAACACGGTAATAATCCCATATCATAAGATCTCGGTAGAAATAAGGATTCTCAACGAACACGACATTAGAGTCCATTTCTGCGCAACAAATACTCTACTTTCCAAGATGTAGTACCTAGAGAAAATTAAAAAAAACTGCGTTTATGACAACAAATGTCTAGATTGGCATACATTATATGTGGGGGAGACAGCCGGGCAAGTAAATTCAAAAGTGAAGGAGTATAGACTATGTCTAAAGCAGATTCCGAAAACCCCAGTAGAGGTTAAGGAGCCAGAAAACAAATCGGCGGTTGCTCTACACTCCATAAAAAATGGCTCACAAGATTGACTGATGGAAAAAGGTTCTACAAAAAGGTTTTGGGTCATACCAAGAATGACAGCCGAAGCCCTACACATATGGCAAATCCAGACATTTTGAATAGATGAGATGGAGTACAGTTAGCTACCTCTTGGCAGTTACTAATTCGTAAGTACTTACTCCAACACCAATCTCAACTTTACTATTTCAGTATCAGCAACAATTGATTGATTTGGTTCATTATTATTATCGACACTTCCTTCATAACTACCATTCATTTCCACTCTATTCTAACATTTCAATAAAGAAATTTATCAATACTATTCATACCTATATACCAACCGAACTGACACTCATATGCCCTATTGTACTTATAAAACTACTGAAAGACAACAATGTCATCTATGACCTTTCTATCTCGGATTTACATTGAAGTGGAATATGAAGGACAACACACACGCTAACCATACAAGGGATACAATTTCACATTGAATCGTTAGTAATCATATTTTAGAGAGACCAATGATTACACGAAGAGGACTCGACAAAGAGATTAAGCATGCGTCTTGGGATTCATTTACATATCTTTGATATTCAAGTTTTTGATTATTTCCCTATAGAAGCTCGGACTCAACTTCCTTGCGAAACGGGATTATTTGATTCCAAACAAGCTGTGACTTATAAACTATATTTAATGTCAGTCTTTTATTCAGCGTCCAATATCTTCGAGTTACTATTCGATCGAATCTTGATTATAGTCCATATAAATTTTACGAATTAGTTAGTATTGCAAAATGTTAAAGGTAAAGTATTGATGCATTCAGCTTTTGTTTTCAGTACTTTGGTATTATTTCGTTTCAAGGTCATTGGACCATTAACCCCTTCAACTTCTGAAGTCGAATCCAATCCAAGGAGCCGTTCAGCAAAGTTACGAATAGCAAGAAAAGCATAATTCATGCAGTGAGTGGGAGAGAACAACGAACAAGAAGACAACCTAACTATACAACACGTATTCTTTCTATGGAGATAAATACTGACTGAAATGTGTACAGATTTCGTTAAAGGATTGCAACATTGGAACAAATTTGTTTAAATAATGTATATTAACGAAATGAAGCGAAGTATATTGATTTTAACTATTTACTTTTTGTAGCGCATATTTCTCACTTTGGCTAGTCAGTCTTGTCCAGCATAGATAATTGAATGAGGAGAATCGCAGTCGAAACGTCAGTGTTCTATCGAAATCTAAAATTGAAATCTATTCAACAACCTTGTGCACATTCATGCAGTAGACAATGAGTCACACCCATTGTATAGAAGCTACTGATGCTAACTGGCTGCCCGAAACTCGGTAGATGGAGCGGTGTCCGAACCCATCACCCACTGTTTGAAAGCCAACCCTGCAAACCAGTGACCAACAACTCTACCAGTGGTCCTACAGTTCATAACAAAAAGTTAACCTTGATTGACAGAAAGACTATACTGTCTTGGTTCGTGGAATATGCTATCCGACAATTTAAATGAAACTAAAATACCAGTTACCCCGTAGTGAGTAACCTATCAAAAGATAAATTAGTTACTCCAGAAAACCATAAGAAGATTTCATTGGTATAAATTATTTTATGCAAAGAAAACAACTATTTACAATAATTTCTATGAACAATTATATATATCAGACAAAATAACTTAGTACTCGACAGCGAATGACTTCAAAGTTCTCAATAATTCTTTACCCTTGATAAAATCCTTAAATTTATTTCTTGGGACCCATGCAAAATCTTTAACACCGGAATCGTCATCTAACATTAAATCTTCACCATGCCAATGTCTATCAACATAGACATTGAAAAAATATACCTGAAAGGTAACAAGAAAACATGTACCAAAAACATCATGTGTTTAGATTGATATTCTCAAGTAAAGAGTGTGTAAATGAGTAAGCACTGAGAAGAACCCACTATACGATAGTAGAGACCTCAGTGGTGCTAATCAAATTCTACAGCATTGTTTGATGGAACGCAAGTGAGATGAAAGTTTAACTTGTACTTGGTATGAAACCTTATGAACTGCTACTGAGCCATACGGGTCAGGTTGGTAACCAGGATGGTAGTTTAGCTTACATCGAACACTAAGGGAATTTTAGGCATTAATATAACCAGGTCTTTTGTACTATTGGAAACGTGCGGACGGTTTACACTTTCTGGATACCCACACTGTGGAAGGTTACTTCCTCTTGAGGAACCTCAGACCCACATCACAGCGTAGCGATAATAGTGGTAACTGTTTCTTGTCTAACCACTATCCAACAGACCTTTCTGGTATGATAGGACCTTGAGGGAACAAGCGTTTCACCAGTGTAGCTCCTTGGGTCATTGTGATATACAAGCCGATCCACGATGTAAAGTTACCAGTTATCGGTCGCGACTAGGTCTTGCATTGCAGTTATTTACATACTAGTTTGGTACAACCGGATTGTATACTCCTAACTTTTGTGTACAGATGACAAAAGCATAAAGATGCAGATCATAAGTACTGCACGAAGTTTTGATGGCTAACTACATTTCTAGAGACTTTTCGAAAATATTTTGTCAAAAATGATTGAGAAGTTGCTGCAAACTTCGCATTTATATGAATTGTCCCACACAATGAATGAGTAACCATACTAAAATAGGATGACCAATTTGCAAATGATTTACAAATTGCACGGTCCAGGGTCGACATTTTTCGCAGCTCATTAGTTTTTTCGACTGTAGTGTCAGCAGGGTTTTTGTTGAAAACCACACAGCAGTGAAGATCCAAAGGTGTGATCTGACACAAAGGTGTCATAAACTAGCATAATATACTAGTACTGAACAACTGGAGCAGTTAGAAACCACTCAGGCTGATATGCAGGTTTCACCAACCAGATCAGAGTGATCTAAACACTGGGCGGACGTTTTGTTCGTTTCGGGCCAAGCCAGCTCATCGGTGGTCTAATTAGACAAATGCAGGTCTCAGGGCGAATTGTTCAGATCATATGAATCTGGCTAGCTGACTTGGATGTTTCGGTATATCTTAAATAGGGTGAAAATTCTACAGATTGTGCGGCTTGTTTTGAAGAGCTCGGTTTCAAATAAGTGGAACCGACGTTCAGTGTTTAGATCACTCTGATCTGGCTGGCTGGCGAAATTTACATATCAGACAGAGTGGTTTCTAACTACTCAAGTTATTCAGCAGTATAAACATATAAAAATGCCAGTCAGCCCAGTACTTTACAGCGCTGATCTTTGAAACATCAAGTGTATAGAGATAAAATTATCAGAAAGGGATGGCAAAGGAAATTCCTTCTGACAGTATCACTGCTTGGAAGCTGTACAGCATAAAACAGTTTACTATTGAATACTAGGATAGAGCGGAGTAATTTGCAGTTTGGTTACCAGAGGCACGAGATTACACAAGATGGTGTAAGTAATGAAATAAGGGTAAGAAACTTTAAGAGGAGAAAATTCTTTCAAGATATGAAGCAAGATACTTGAGTATCGTTCTCTTGATACATGCAAAGAATGATGAGAGTGGACTAGTAGCAATTCAATCTGGAAGTTTGTGGGGAAGTATTTATTATTGATTTCGATGTTGGTATTCAACACGGATTGACATCAGTAGGAGAACCTGGGAGCAATGAACATTTGTTTCGTCTTAGTTTAGGACTCCTCAGCAGTGTCCCGCTAGAAATCGAACCTACAGACTCCCCGGTCAGCATGTTATAATTGGGTTGGGATCTTAAGCTCCACATTTTACTACCTTCGTCAATTCGTGGCATACCCCAACTTCCATCCTATGCAGTCGTTGAGTATCTGTCCAAACGTCCGATTTGGTTTGTCCCACTAGTCACGACTTCTGATTTTGTTTGGAGAAGAAAGGCAGTATGAGTGGAAATACTTCTTCTTTACACAGATATACGGCTCCAACTGCTGAATATTCTAATTGAAAATGATGCCAATGACGTAATCACATTTGATATTTTAATAGTAGATCGTTGCATTAAGATAACGTAATTCGAAGACGTAGATTATCTGAAAAATGTGATAGATTTGCACTATGCACTCTGAACAATCCAATCACACATTTACCACTTGTTCAAGACATTTTATATGAAAACTCGAAGTGTCATCTATTGAAGGCTTGACTGACTGGTCACCTCACTCTGTATAAGAGATACGTCGATGATCCAATTGTGATATGTGACAAGCATGAAAAGGCGATATGTTTGTTAGAAAGACTTTACACTATACAAAACAATGTACGCTTAACATGTGAGAAAAAGAGAAAGATAACTATGCTGTCCTCGGATATACTACTGAATTGTGGGAAAAACGGTTCAATAAAAAGGTCGATATACAGGAAACCTACTTGGGTAGGTCAGTATTCAGTATTCCTTAGCTGCTGTCCAACTCAATACAAGCGAGATTTGGTTATGTGCCTATTCGAAAAGATCCAGCGCATCCGTACAGCAGACTCAATTGATGATGACATCAAAATACTAAGTGAAACATTAGTGGAAAATGAATATTCATTGAACTTCATATGCTGGTGCTAAAACCAGCCAGCGTTGAAACTCCCTCTATATTCTATTCCAGAGAACTGAGTTTATATCGCTCTACTGCACAGAAGGGAATATAACAGCGTCATTTAAAAACAAAGAGTAAGGTCTGCCATTGGCAAAACACACTATACAACCAGGCTTATTGTAGTTAAGATGACTGAACATATGTTGTAATATAGAACTCAACACTAAATAAGTGATTGCATCACATCTCACTGCATTTATCAATTTACATATGTGTGTGGACACATACACAGGGAGAAATAATTGAGATATGTACTTCAGGCTGGAGGAGCATGTACCGAAATGGCTACAAAAGCAGATGGACTCACAAACAACAATGAGTGCAGACAACCATCATCGGCCATTGCAAAACACATTGATAAAGGTCCCAGGATTGATATTAAAACAGCCTTTCTAATTTGGTATAGGAACTGTTAGGGGGCACATACTTAGGTTTTTTGGAGCGCTAGCCATACACAAATTTAAGTTCCCGTTGTGCTTCCGAAAAGTCCGTCCTTATGCTAAACCAACTCTGGTAATGCTTATCACATCCTATTACCGAGGTTGTCTTTAAATGTCATCATTCTCCCTTCATTACCTTTCTCACTATTAAATTCCTTCATGTGATATTTGTCCTTCTGCCACTTTTAGTTTTCATACAAAATGCCTTGATAAGTGGTAAGTGTGTGATCAGACTGGTCGAAATGTATAGCGCAAATACATCACATTTTTCAGACAATTTACGTATTCTACTTACATTATCCAAATTCATAATGTTTCAAAATATTGAAGACCTCTGCATGTTCGTAATAGGTATAAATACACGTATAACTTTCGAAAATGAAAGCTTTCTACACTGATTTACCACTTTACTTTATAAAATTAGAAGGAATGATAATGGAACGCATCACACGAATTTGTATGCATCAAAGATGGTCAGTTTTAGCTAACGACATATCAAGGATACAAACATTTAACACAAATGTGAAATTAATTTTTTAGTGGACAGGGTTCAAGGTGGATCAAACTTCTTTTTCCTTGGAGGTAGCTGATGAATATTCTCCGGTTAGCCACAATGACGGACAAAAAATAATTTTATACAGGTGAATAAAGATTTGGGATAGAAAACTGAGTAGTAGGTAGTCACGCATTACACACCGACGAACTAATGATTACTCCCATACACTACTTCACTGTTATCCATTCAACCACTCACTGGTTCGAGTTCGTCACTGCTCTATTTGATCAATTGGAAAGCAATCAATTTCATATTGTCTAGTCCTGAATACTGGGAGAATTCTATCGATGTTTCGCAGTGTGGCCAACAAGTCAGGAGGCTCACTATCACAGCACATTATGATAGTTGTAGGTTGGTTGAACGCAATGGGCAACAAGCCCTGCTCAACCTAGGTTTCATACTTGCTGGTATTCGTCAGCAAAGCGTACCCGCAACCTCAAGGGAAGTGATATCTCCTCTGAGATTCGAACCCGCGTCACCTAGTGGCAGCTTAGCTGACGACAACACTGGGTACGCTTTGCTAACGAATGCCAACAAGCAGGATACCTAGGTCGAGCAGGGCTTTCTGCCGGTTAACTATAACCAACTGAGATGTTTAGAAGTGATTGCAAGCCTAAGTATTGCGGATTCGTAATAATTTCGTAGTTGGAAAGTATTATTTAACTGCTGCATCAACCTAATTTAGAAGCAAAAAGGCACAACCAAACCCATCAACTTCAGATATATACTTACTTGTGTAGCAGTGTCTTCTTTGCTCTCATCTTGAGATAACCAAACAGCAACTGGAGCATCGCCAAATATACACCATTTAGCTTTTGATGGTAATAAACTAACTGCTATAGAATCTGCAGTCTGAAAGATTTCGAAGATATCATTACAAAAAAGGAGAAGCTTGCAAGATAATAAAATTACTAAGTATTTAGATCCCTTGATAGATCTGGACGAAGCTGAAAGGATGACATTTTCAGAATAATACAAAGACGGCATCATATTGTTTCACGAATACACTTCAGCAGCTGCATACGGTTTACAAGTACAACAGTTACTAGGACATAAGATACTTCAAAATTAGGAAATCATTTAATTCAAGTTGTACAACAAAATCATTGGTAAGAAGTGTGAGAAAGGATAAAATACTAATAATAAATGAATCAATAAAGATTTATGTAGTGAAAATAAAACAGGGTCAAATCATATTCACCAAGGGACTAGCCACACTCTCCTTCTGTATACAAAGGTCAGGTTGAAAGCACTTTATTGCAATCGCTTCGGCAAAACATAGTAATTCAGACATTCTCTGTACGTTTATTATTCTAAAAGAACTTGAGGTTTCAACCTGATATCCTTTGTCTACGAGGTATTTAGCACTTTCACTGTTTAGAACTTGACTTCGAAGCAGAGATTCTTGGGGAACTGAATGGACGCCATTCTCTCAGTCCTTGCAATGTATTTTCTACTGCAAGTACATGTGAATTCATAAATACAGTTGGTGACATGAGAAGGGTATTTATCCAATTTTGACTAGTTTAGTGAGCATTTGAAATTGTTTACTGGTACAAGTCTAGCTGCAGGAAAACCCCTTCTCAATGCTCCTTTGATTATTGTGTCTATTCGTCTGGACACTGCATCCCCCTTGAATGTAAGGGGTATAAAAACCCTCTTCTTATCCATAGTTGAGTGTTTATTTCTCTCGATCTGTTCTTTCCTATACTTCATAATAAACCTTTTAGGATATCCATTCTCTTGGAGACACTTCTAAACAAAGTTTGATTCTTCCTCTAACTTATTCGCAAAATATAATTTGCTAGCTCTTTTCAAGTGTTTTAAATAGCCTACTCTGAGCATATCCCCAAGAATATCTGCTTCGAAGTCAAGTTCTAAACAGTGAAAGTGCTAAATACCTCGTAGACAAAGGATATCAGGTTGAAACCTCAAGTTCTTTTAGAATAATAAACGTACAGAGAATGTCTGAATTACTATGTTTTGCCGAAGCGATTGCAATAAAGTGCTTTCAACCTGACCTTTGTATACAGAAGGAGAGTGTGGCTAGTCCCTTGGTGAATATGATTTGACCCTGTTTTATTTTCACTACATAAATCTTTATTGATTCATTTATTATTAGTATTTTATCCTTTCTCACACTTCTTACCAATGATTTTGTTGTACAACTTGAATTAAATGATTTCCTAATTTTGAAGTATCTTATGTCCTAGTAACTGTTGTACTTGTAAACCGTATGCAGCTGCTGAAGTGTATTCGTGAAACAAAATGATGCCGTCTTTGTATTATTCTGCAAACTTCGTCCCTTTTGCTTTGTCCAAATCACAAGATTAGTTTACTAAATGTTTTGATCAGAAATAACATGCAAGAACAACGTATATTTGGTAGTAATTAATAAGAATTGTTAAAAACCAGTAGAACTTTAGTATGTTGAAATCTGAATGAACCTTGTATAACACTGATGTACACAAGACAGTTGATGTATGGCTCAATCTTACAAAAAGAAAAAGTAAGAATACGAAGGACATGGAAGATATTTGACTTTCAAACCGAGATCAGCGATGAAAACACATTTTGCCACTGGAATAAACTTTACATCCCACTAAGCCCTCATCAAGAATGTCATGTGTTACCACGACACTCAGTTGGAGGTACTCAATGGTTTCAGGTAGGTGTAAGTAAGTTAGTCTGTACCTCACCCGTTGAGTTTGTGTAATATGAAGGTAGTATCATCTCTTTGCCATACAATGGATGCAATTCATAATCCATTAAATAAATCGATAAGCAATTCTTAGATTAATGATGGGTAGTGGCTGGCAGTGAAATCCAGGATGCGCATTTCACCCTATTTGGGACTCGTCAGTCAGATGTACCTACCTTCCAGTGATTGATTTTTTTTCCACTAACACTTGAACCTCCAACCGACCGCTTTAACTGCCGCAGCGTTATCCCCTGAGCCATGATAGCCAATCCTTGTACGACAGGTACATAGTATGGTTTGTAAATTTCTGCCGTTGGTTGCATCGAAAAGACTGATACTTGGATTACTTTTTCCAGCTATATATAAATGTACCTATTAACACTGCAAGGCCTTCAGTTTGAAAATAATGGGAGTATCACTCTAGGATTTGATTAAATCAGCGGAGCTTGTTTTTGCTAATCGGTATAGTAAGTCAAGGTAGTTTTTATTACGCACTCAACGGAAAAGAATCAAATTGATAACTAGATAATGTTGTTTGCCATGTATACTACTTAGTTCATCTTAAGAAAGCGCTTTCATTAATGGAAAACCTTTATTTGAACAATCAACAAAAACGGGAACACTTGAAACCAAAACTGGTTGTTGACATTTGTGTATGGCACTCCCTGAATTTCATTAGTAGATAAAATTATTAGTTTCGTCCCGCTTTATACTAGCCATTTTCAAGGTATTTCTTTTTCTCTCCAATGTGTTTAGATACTACTACTAGTTTCACAGACACCAATACAATAATAAGAATTGTATTTTCAGTTAATTATTTCTTCACTGCCTTAATTATCTGCTCCTTTTGAAACGGTTCTTTTCTGTGAAGAACAACACATGTTCAGTGAGAGCTTTTTACTGCCCTACAAAGATGAAAATGATTGTCGGATGTTGGGTATATATTAAGAACGTTGTGACAGACTAAAAATAATAGTAGCAAATCAGGAAATAGCTTTGACAAGAAGGTGAGAGGGGACAAACCAAACTACAAACCATGGGAAATTGATATATTCACAAAATAAACCTAGTCAAGTGTGGTACCCTTGGAAGGGTCTCAGTTGAAATTATCACATATCATTTTTCAATTTCAACTAATCGGTGGTCTCATGAACTTGTTTATTTCCAAATAAACTTTTCAGTGTGAACATGTAAGCCATAATTGATTTGATTTTTATAACGAAAATCATTGAAACAATTTGTAACCAAAGTCTATTTATTCCTTCGACTGAAATAGGCATTTTTACAACATCAAAATGAACTCAGCAACCTTGTACACATTTTTGGGGTAGGTAGTGAGGCAAACATATTGTGTAAGGACTAATAATAGTACTACTTGGCTGCCCAGAGTTTAATAAGTGGAACGAGGTTCAAACCCGTGACCCATTGGTTGAAAGTCAACTCCCTAAATGAATGGGCCACAGCTTCACTTTTTTATTATTCATCAACATTTATTGAACACAATAATTGTACTTACTTGTCGTAAACTTTTTGCATTGCATACTGGTGCACTTGGAAGACTCCATACATTGGGGGCGTCTTTCGATGACTGAACTAACAGAAATAAAGGTTTATCCAACACACGCCAAGCAGATTTCAAATTCCCACTTTTGTCATTTTCTAAGGAAGATCCAATAAAAAGGGAAGATTCATAGGATTTTACAACTAGATAGTAAGATATCAACTTATAACAATATCACAGAACGTATTGCATCATACTGTAACCATGTAATAAGCTTTTGTTACCACAGTCTATATAGTACAACTTTACTTGCACTTGATGGGATATCAGACACACATACATACTAAAAGCTTCCACCAGTTATATATAGTATACCAGCATCTATTCTGATACTTAAAATATCTCTTGTAGCAGAAACCGACTACCTTCCAAGTAGTTTTATCATCCTACTGTGTTGTAGACATATAAATATCCAAACCACAGTAGTTACGAATGTCCAGGATAAAAATGAGCACTGAGTCTGACTTAATAAATAAGAGAAGAGACATTTGAATATAATCTCAGTATACTGAAAAAATAAAAAGAATTTCGTTTTGGTAAAAATCCGAATATTCAGCTGAAGCTGTGGCTTACACATACAGAGGAAATCAACATAATATCAAGCATTACAGTACAATGGGTTGAGTTGTCACACTTTATATCAGCATATTGGGCGAGAAAGCACTAAGATAAAAGATAAGTAAGCGAAGGAAGCAATCAAAAGTGGTAGAAAGTGGTAAAAATAGAGGAAGGAAAAAACTGAATTCTGTATGACGATTAACCTGCGGATAGGATGCGGAGACGTCTACACCACTACTATCATTTGTGAGCTATATGATCTAATTTTCATGTTCTACAGTAATACAGTAAAACAGAGCGAACTGCAGCCCAGTACACTCAACCCCTAATGGGTAATTGAATATCATGATGGAGTCATAAATGACGCATATTGGTGAGATCCACACAACCCCCTTCGTATCCACGTAGACATTTCATCAGTCACTGACCCACCAGGGCTGGTCTGACTTTCAAGGTAAGTGAATTGGTCAACTCGCTCAACCATTTCACTCCCTATTGTTAAACAAGGTGTCACCAATGACCGATATCCTGTGGCAACATTTTGCATTTAGGTAGCAGGGAACGGATCCCAACATTCTCAAATTGCCATACAAGGCGTCCAGAAGACTGCACCTTGTCCGGGTTTTCACGTAACAGCACTGTATCATCTGCGTACTTTTAAATCTACCGAGGATACTCCCATGATAAGACCAATGTTTAGTTGAATTTATGAAGTTAAATGATGAAGGGGAAACCTTCATAAGTACTTCGATAACAAGTTGAATAAGGATGGAGTAGTGATCTTTGACAGACAACACTGATGTCCATAACTTACCCAATAACTCACCATAGGTTCCAACAGGTTCACGAGTGTTTAGGCACAGAGACTTCAACAAAGTGATGCACTTACTAGTTACCCTCTTCAATGAGAAGCATTGGCATAAGAGATACCAATCGATAGAATGGGATACTGCCTTACGTCAAGAAGTGCAACTAATGTCAGACAGCCGTAATTATGTCTGGATTTCATAACCTGGTAAATGGTGAGTATCTCGTCGACACGTTCACGGTCAGGTTTGAAACTTACCTAGTTTTCTCGGATATGGAGTTCCCGAACTCCACTAAGACGTCTGAGAACTCAGAATCCTAAACACTATGTTCTGTGACTGATATAAAAAAACTTCTCAACTACCTTGAAGACTAGGATAGTCAGTGATCGATAACAGTCAGAGGAGATTCATATTTGACTCTCATACACTGGTTAACACTTCGGTTGATCAAACCAATAATCCTCGACCAACACTTCCAATACAAGGCCACTTGGACTTGTTGTCCTTCGTCGTCTCAGATTTACGGTCTTTCTAACTTCAGTAAACGTTGGAGGTTCTATCTCAACGTTCCATTCAGGACCCGACTGGATAGCAGGTAACGAAATAGTATATGGAGACCAGCTGAACTGTTCCTCAAAGTGTTCCGCACATCGTCCCATCGACTCACCTGGGAGTAAATTATAGATTCATCCTTCTACGCCATGGTTTCACTATCCGCTGACCTTTTCGTCTCAGTTTCCTTGATAAGTCTCAATAACTATCTACTATTACCTATCGCCGCTGTCTTTTCCATTTCTTTAGCCTTCGCTGCCCATCACTCTTCGCGGGCATTGGGTAAACTTTTTTCAGTTTACATTAAAATGGCATTCTCTCCTTATCGTGCTCGGAGCCTGTAGGATGCGTTCGCTGGCATCCATTAATTTAGAAGCTGTTGAGGTCAACTGGCTTTTTTAGCCACTCTCTGAAGGTTGGCTACGCTCTTCAAGGCTGTTTTTACAGTAGAATGGAGATGGAGCTAGGCTTCTTCTGGTTGAGTGATATTGTTCTGTTCCAATAACTGTCAAGCCAGTTTTTCACTTAAAGTAGCCTTAGTGTCCTCATTGGTGAACTGCGCTAGGAACTATCTAGTTGCTATAGTTTTTTTTAAATCTCCATTTGGGCGCAGACATGTGTGCTCAAACCAACGCATGGGTACTGTACAAACGCGTGCTCCAGAAGTAGCAACAGTTTTCCACAAACCCTTTTCGGCGATAACTGCAATATGGTCTATTTGTGTGTATTGTTGAGTCGAGGTCGTTGGACGCTACGTCAAATGATATCGCTCTTTTTTCTTGAAGTTCGTGTTGACCAAAAATAGATGGTTGTCGCGATCGCCATTATCTGTTCATTTGTCTGGGATTCAGAAAGTGCCACATAGTCCCTTTGTCCGATAGCCTAACTACTTGTGCACTAAAATCATTTGCTACAACGATTGTGTCTGAACGCTTGGTTTTCAGTAAGAGGGCAGACAGAACTCATCCTTCACTTCATCCAAACCATAGTTACTGTAGGTATGAGCAAAGATTACAAAGAGACAACACCGAGTTCCACTATTCTTCTTACTTCACACTGTGCTATTCAGTCGGGAAGCGCACGGTTCTGTCAACTAGGATTTAGCCACACAGTGCATTTTTGCTTTGGCAATTAGTGTAATATTCACACCTACCACACCACGAAAACTAGCCATCGAATGGGCAGAAACTCGAAGGGTGGATTTTACGGATTCACCATATTGATGGGGTGGAGTTAGGTAAGTAACTGCATTTGGGTTTTGTATGTGCGTCTCGCAAACACAACACACATGAACTCAGATGCCAGAGTTTTGGCTTGCGAAGCTTGTTGGTAGATTTGACGGAGCGTGTGGCTACTAAGAGCACCAATTAGTTGTTTGGAGAGCGGCTTCAAGAGACCAGTGATGCTGCTCCGTGAACTCATATTGTTATCAAGAGCTGCAGAGTTGGAACAAATTAAAAAGGATGTAGGAATGTTGACTTAGAGATGTAAGGGAAAATTAGAAGTTAAGGATGTGAAAGGTGATCTGAGGAAACGTGAGTTCTGATAGTTGTGAGGGTATTTGACACATCGTGGAAGACTTTTCTGGAAAAGCTTGAAGAGGAGGGTTTGTGCGTGATGGCAGAGACCAAGAGGTATGTGCTTGAGGCTGTTCACACACTGCTTTGGTCGAAGTTTGGTAATTTAGTTGTCTTTTTTTGAATTCGACTATAAACCTGTATCAATGGGCCCGGTATGCTGCCGGTAGAAAGCAGTGTGCTATTTTTAGCGCTGATCTTTTCGAATCTCCCCCCCCCCTTTCCTCGATAGGTAAGGCAAAATCAGCGTGGCACTGGTGGTTCTCTGCGGGAAACACATTATTTCTGTCACAACCCCGTCTAGTTAATAGTACGAGTTCTCCCTTGAAATCCCATAATAGCGTAGTATAATACACTAAAACGGTAACTGCCTTTTGTCTTACCACTATTCAACTAACCTTTCCTGTATGGTAGAACTTTGAGGGAGTACATTTTTTACCAGCATAGCTAGTCCGGTCACTGTCATGTGTGAGCCCGACCTCCACATCAACGTAGCAGCTATCGAAACATTCAGAAAAATTTTGTTTCAATTTCTTAAACACGCTAGAATTACAACATAAAAAGCAGTTTAATTCTTCTGCAATAATAAGCATTACCTGGAATACCACGACTTTCACTTATTTAGCAATCATCCTTCATTCACACCCTCTAAACAATTATTCGACTCGACTTTCAAATAATGGGGTATAGGATACAACCAGGTACTTCAAAAGTATCGTTAACTTCCCTACGATAAGTACACCTGTACGTCATTTGTGTCGAATTTTTGTGATTGCGAGTTAAATACTTTGGAACTACTTTGTCCCACAATACCGATATGAAAAGAAGCTTCTAAAAGCAAACACTCCACAAGCGACATTCCTATATGGTTTGTTTATATAAGAATCAATAAACTCACGATATGACTAGGTAGCCCTTTTCATTAATTAATTTTACTGACATTCCGACTTAACTACCTTATGTTTTGCAACATTACTATTTCATTAAATTCAGAAAAAACACTTTTTTGGTGTTAGTATTCCAAAAAGGTCGACAAAAACTATATTCTTCTTACTCAACCAACGGGTTCGAACACCGCTCTACTTGTTGAGGTTTAGGCAGCCAGTTGGCATCATTAGCAACCCCCCCCCTCCACATACACACACACAACAGTTGTGGTTAACTGCTTATTGCACGAGCGTGCACAAGGTTTCTGACTGACTGGAAAAATCAAAGTAGAACCTCCACAAGTGCATCGGCTCATTGCTACACTTTAAAGTAATATACAAAGAATAGGGGAATAGAAAAGGCATGATATCAAAGCACTTAAAAGTGTGAGAGGATAAATAATCTGAAGATGAAGGTTAGTTAAAATATTCAAGATTTAGATGTGAATGTGTGAATACATCTGCACCACTGCAACTGATTTTCAGCTTTGTCACCAACAGTCCTCACCAACTGATTCTTATCGTCTCAAGGACTCCATCTTTCAAGACGGCGCATGCCAGCAGTTAGGAATTTTATCGACTGATGCCACGTCTTCACCTGGCGATCTGGAACCCTCTTCCAACCTAATCCGGCTTCCCCTAGCGTGGCAAGTTGAGGTGGGCGGTGACCAAGCATACGCGATACATACCCAGACCACCTCAGCCGATGAAGGTTCTAAACCTCATTATCGACTTGGCTATCTTGCCAAGTACTTATTCACTTAACCTCAACAATGATCATGTGGTGATTCCACCAAACGCCAGCAATGCTACGAAGACTCCTGTGATCAAAACCCTTTAGTCGCGGCATGTATTCTGCTTTCAACGGCAATGTCTCAGTCGCATAACAGGAGAGAACACACTGCAGTGCAGTATACTCGTCCTTTGATTGATAGTCAGGTATCTCACTAGTCGGCGCCGCAGATGACGCATGTTAATAAACACCAAACGGGCCTTCTGTATCCGAGCTGTTTCCATATTTCCCTGCACAATCTTACTACCAGGCGTTGAAAGTTATGTCGACTTCCCATGTGTAGATGATAAAATGATTATAAAAGCTCTAATGTGAAAAAGGTAGTACCTGTCAGTCTGTCTGCTGGTTTGAACTTTTCAGCTTCCGATTCCCACATCAATTCTGTCTCACGAGCAGTTACTAGTGCTTCTTGTGTACTAACAACAGCACCTTTTGAAAGAGCGTTAGAAAGCTTTTTCACTTCAGCTGCATGTCTTAGTTCATGGGCAGATAAGTGACTTTTCTCGAATTCCAACTTTTCGTATAGATCCGCTACTGTTTTTTCAAATGGCCTCAGTTCAGGCGCAATAACTGCAGGCCGACGTACACATAGTCCACTGAAAATATTCCAATTTTTTATATTTTTTAGTGTGAGCAATGAACCTGACATTTTGTGAAGGGCTGTTATGATGCGATAAATTTGAACCGAAAAACAAAAGGGAAACTAATTATTTTTCCAGGTAGTAGACAAATTATAATGATTAAAAAAGCTGTCTAATCATCAGTGAAACATGTTTCTTCCACAAAAGATTTGTTGCATGTTTTTCACCAGTGCTGACATACTCAGTTGATGATAAAAGAGGATTTTTTTAGCTAGCATTAACTTGTTTTCAAAACAAAAGTGGGATCATAAAACTAGCTGGTAGCAACTATTTTGGCTAGGTAGTTCGGCTTGCATATTGCAATGACTCAAGGAACAATGCTGGTCGAAATAAATGTTCCCTTAGTTCATACCATGCAAAAAATACCTGCTGAATAGTGGCTAGACTAAGAGTAGCTACTGTCATGATGTCAATAAATCACACCACGACTAATACCTAAGGATGACAACGTACTGCAAACGGTACAAAATAACGGTAGCAAACTGTTTTCTTCGGAACACCAGTAGGTAGACCTAGGTGAAGTGAAACAGGTCAGAAGCTGAGTGCTTATCGAGAAAACCTAGTGACGCTTTCTAAATAGATCGAGACAGCGATATACTCAAAAACTGTGCCAATACTACTCCCCCCTCCAAAACAGGTCTAATAAATCGAACAAATGAGACATTATTTCGGTCGTTTATTGGCCTTAGGCCTGAACATTCTTGGGTCACGACAGTTTCTATCCTAGATTGTTATGTTCCGTAGTGGACATTGATGCGCAGCCCGTTACTGAGCTTTTCAAAACTTCCTTGTCTCAGAATCCTCTTTGTAAAGAATAACGCCATAATCATCGTGAATTTTAAGGTGAAAAAACTTCCGACAGTACCTAACTTTCTTCCGATGAGTTTAAATAGTATGGTCATCAAGTTTTTTTAAAAACAGTCTGTGATGAAATGCTCAACCACGCTGAATCTAATAATCTTTTGGCACCATAGTAACATGTTTACTGGGAGGATACTCCTGTTTGGAAACCATCGTGACAGAAGAATGGTAAGCCGTTAAGATAGTTGATAGACTTCAGTAAGGCTTCTGACAAGGTGCCTCATGTCAGCTTACTAGGCAAACTTTCCTTTTTTTGTTTTGCTGGTATATTGCAAGCTAGCTTTAGGGAACTTCTACACGATGTGAGAGAAAAAGTGAGGGTTAGTGAGACTATCCAGATGGAAATCTATGAAGAGTAGGTTCCTCAAGAAACATTCCTGGGACTTCAATTTCTCCTGTTCCACATTAGCGAACTACCGGAAATGCTCAACTATTTGGTGTTTCTGTTGGTCAGAGATATAATAGTCTCAACAGGCATTCGGAGTAAAATAGATACGTGTGTGCTACAAGCAGACTTGAATAAGCTAGTGTCAGTTGATTTGAAGGTTGGTATCTTTTAATGGATTGTAGAAAAACTTCAATGGTGCACACTGGTCATGGTAAATGTTACCAGCATATTATTGACTGTACACCACTACCCCTAGTCTTGTAACTAGAAGATTTGTGTGACTGGAAGCTGTGATCTGAAGACACACAAGTACTATGATGCAACTGCAGTGAAAGGTTCTCATATTTTGAGGTACTTGCAGAAATATTTGGAAAGTCTTGATCAGGATGTGCTTAAGATACTTTATTCCACATACGCATGACCTCACCTAGGATGCCGCATTCAGCCAGCCAGTCCATTCCTAAAACGAGATGCCGACATACTCGAGGATGTTAAAAGGGTGGGCATTATGCTTGTTGCTTCTAAAATGATCTACTTTAAATGGTACTAGAATCAGATTTAGTTTACAACCATAACTCGTCCAACGCGATAGGATTTTTAACTCAAGCCGTCGTTATTACATTTGATTTTAACCCACCAATGTGAAGATAATACAGATTTGCGATACTTCCTTCCGTTAGCTAACAGCGATCACGTAGTTTTGGATTTCGGGTTTCAGATGCACAAGTTTAATTACAACGCTTTTCCTAGACTTAGTGTGTGGCGCACAGACATTTCAAGTATGACGGACTGTGCAGTCAATAAAGATTGGACTGTCGATAATGACTCATCAATCGAGAAGTCCTGGGATAGGTTTAGAAATCGATTTGAAGGGGTAACAAAACCGCTTATTTCATGGTCAACTCCACGAAGATCCTCACATCGCCCACCATCCTTTGATAAATATACTCAGAAAGTATTGACAGAGAAAACATCAACGGAACCTATAGAAACTGGATTGGAAACGTTTCAAACTAAGTTACCGAATAGTCCGTAATCTGTGCAAAACTTTTACCAAACAATCTCGAATGTCTTACGAGAAACAGCTCGAAAATGATTGCTAAAACTGTCGTGAAAGATTTCTCGGATCTATTCGAAGGACTGAAAGAAAATGTGGAATCCCTTCGCTTGTGATGAAAGGTATGCTAATCTGGCGGAATCTGATCTGCTCAAAACCGAGTGCCTATCAGCATACTTTAGTGAAGTCTTTTCTGTAGGTCATGATGGTGAAGGGCTTAGCAGTGTTGTCAGGGCTGCCCCATTAATAGGTACAGTGCTCATAAAAAAGGAAAGTTTTTCAGCAGCCCGTTAATCTAAAACCTTCAAAATCCCCATGCCCCGATGGTTTGCACCTTAGATCGCTATCTTCGCAAGTGGATATTGATGCTGAGCCAGTCACTGACCTTTCCAATATTTCTTTACCTCAGAATCACTTTTTTATAGACTGGAAAGATGCCATAATCAAACGTTATTGAGGCTGGTAGTCATCATTTGGCAGCTATCGCCCTGTGAGTCTGACTGGAATAGTTATTAAAGTTCCTTTTAAAAATAAGTCGTGATAACCATGTTGAACCAAATCACCACTTAAAACCACAGCAACACGGATTTCGCACTGGACACTCTGTTTAACAAACAGCAGAGGAGTGGTTTGCAATCCGTAATTCCAGACTGCCAATACATTCCGTGTTCAAGGACTTTCGACAGCATCTCATGTAAAATTACTAAATAAGCTCCCCTCTTTCGGGTTGTGTTTGCTCTGCAATCCTGGTTAAAAAACTTTCTGAATGATAAAAGGTAAAGAATGAGGGTTAACCACTATCATGAGTGGAGTTCCTCAAGGGTCAGTCTTAGGTTCACTCATTTTCTTGTTATATGCTAACGAATTAAAGTAAATGCTCAACTCTTCGGTGCTGCTATTCGCTGACAATGTAAATTTTGAGAGAGTTACACATAGTGATGCTGATAGGTATGCTGTTCAAGCGGATTTGGATGAACTGGTAAGTTGTTTCAAACGTTAATGCCTGGAAATTAACTCTAGTAATGCACACTGTTCATAGCAGTTGTTTCCACCATTCCGTTGATGGTACGTCACTACTCCCATTTTTTGAAATAAAAGACTTGGGTGTCATCATAAGCCATAGTTTGGAAAATTTGGTACACTGCAATGCAGCTGCAGCAAAGTGCTTCTGTGCACTGTAATCCATTCGTAGATCTTTTAGAAGTTTTGATCAAGATGTTTGTGATGGTATATTTTGCTTACTTTAAACCCCACTGTAGTCAGACGGCTAGTCCAGGCCTAAAAAAAGGATGCTAATGTACTCGAGCGTGTTCAAAGGGTAGCTGTTAAGCTTGTGGAAGGCCATGTGAATCTTATCTACGAGGAACAACTAGATCGGTCAAACTTATTTCCGCTCTTATTGTAGGAAAAGGAGTGATCTCATACTGCCACTAGATATCCTTTATAATGATTTTGGTACCGATATACCACACGTTTTGCTTGGATCAATTATTTGCAAGATCATCACATGAAAATGCAAAAACTGAGATTGAACCAACTTAACGTGAATCTGAGCTTCTCCCATCATGTAGTCAACGTCCGGAACTCAACTGAACGAGGGGTACCAGCTCCATAGGTCAACGGGTTTAAGGTGAAACTAGATCTACACATAGACCCCCCACTGCAAAAATCAACACAGGACAACTGGTCTACTATTCTTACTGCGCCGGTGTGTTTGTTTTCAGCGCTGAAAACTGAGACACACCGGCCATTATAATCAACCCTATGACAGACGAGTAGATCGACTGGATATATTTCTATTGTCTTATCGTAGGAAAATAGGTGATCGCATACTGGTATTCTGTATGCTTGATAATGGCTTTCGTACTGATGCATACATATCAGTACCTAAGTCATAAAATATGCGACGTATGTTTTGATTCTTTCAGGCATCATCACAATAAAGATCTAAAATCACGATTCAATCAATTTGGTATGAATCTGAGTTCATTGCACTGGGTAATCAATGATCGAAGCTCCTTAATTCAACAGGAGTAACCTGTTACCGGGACTTACAGTATCAGCTCCTTAGGTTAGCAACTTCAAGAGGGGACCATATCTTTACAGACATATTTACCGCAAAGATAACACAAGACAACTGAGCTTTTATCCTAATTGGTAAGTAGTGAATCATAGTACTCAAGCATAACAGAAGTTACCAACCTTGAAACAACCTTCAGGACAAATCGACGGCTTAAAAGCCTCTGTATCCAACATCAATGGTGTGAGCATTGAAAAGTGGGAGCTTTTGACTTCTCGCGTCTAGTTTTTGGACTTGGTTCTTGTTGTTTGTTTCGCTCATGCAATGGGCAACAAAATCTTTTTTAATCTTAGCTCCGGTGAGATCCATATATTTTTACTAGCAAATATGCACCAGTTACTTTCTTCATGCCTGCTTCTAAGACTTGTAAAACTGTTCCAGGTCTTTGGTGAATCATCCTGGGGTTGAGTGTTAATTAAGCTTGTGGGGATAGCATGACTTGTCCAGGGAATACAGTGTGGATGGGTTCCTCTGGTGTTGTGATACTATACAGTTTTCCGGACTGGTTGTAAAAGGAGGTTACAAAAGAAGGAAAGATGTTCGGCGAAATCAAGTGACAGAAAGTCAGAACAAACAGGATGAAAAGAAGCGAAACGGAAGGAAGGGGAAATGTAGTTAGATT